ACAAAATTTAAAATTAAATTTCAATATTTTTAAAAGTGATTTAAACATTTAAATATTATATAAAGTAAAGTCTACTGGGAATGGTTACGGAAGAACTCGTTCCGTGTCCGTCGGAAATCTGTCACAATAAACCGACGGATTTTCGACGGATTCATTTTGCTCGGAAATCCGTTGGGATGCCGTCGGAAATTTCGTCCGTCGGAATACTGCTTGTTTTCTTGTAGTGTTTATACCATCTTGGTTCTTCTTAAGAATCCCACATGGATAAGTAGAGTGGGAATAATGGTCACATCTATCATAGAAGAAATATATGTTATTTTTGTGGATTGATTACCAATTGATTTTGAGAGGGAAGTCAATTTTTGATTGTTTCTCTTGGATGCCATAGCAGATTCCTTGACAGAGCGGCGATTTTATGTGATTTGGCTGAAATTGAAGAAGCAAAAGCAGTGCTTAAGCTTGTTCCCATATGGATGACTTGCTTAGTTTATGCCATTGTATGTTCACAATCCTCTACTTTCTTCACAAAACAAGGATTCGCAATGGACAGGTCAATCTCACTAGGAGTCATAGTTCCTGCAGCTACGCTTCAATGCTTCATAAGTCTCACAATGGCTGTTTTCATCCCAATCTATGACTGTCTATTCGTCCCAATCGCAAGATCTTTCACTCAAAACCCTTCAGGAATCACATTGCTTCAAAGGATTGGAACAGGCATGTTTCTCTCCATTATTGCTATTGTAATGGCTGCCTTAGTTGAGGCCAAAAGGCTCCAAACCGCTCGGGATGGCATCACCATACCAATGAGCGCATGGTGGTTAGTTCCACAATATGTTATCTACGGTCTTTCAGACGTGTTCACAATGATTGGTTTGCAAGAGTTCTTCTACGACCAAGTCCCTAGGGAGTTTAGGAGCATTGGCATGGCTTTGAATCTAAGCATATATGGGGCCGGAAACTTCCTAAGCAGCTTCATGATATCAGTTATCGACAAAGTCACGAGCCAGTCTGGTCAAACGAGCTGGTTCGATAACGACCTGAACAAAGCTCATCTAGATTACTTCTATTTGCTGCTCGCTTTTCTCAGCTCCATTGGTTTAGCCTCCTACTTGTGGTTGGCCAAGTCATATGTCTACAACAGACCAAACACCTTCTAAAAACATTGTATTTTCTTACCTGAAATGGGCTTCATGACCAACCAAGTCGGTATTTCCATTTGCATACTAACTACATTGTTTTCCTGAATTGAGCAAGTTATGTGTTTAATGGAAGATATATTCAATCTAATGTTTGGAAAGTTTTGAGTTTTTAGATTTGGAAGGATTGGAATTTTAATGAGTTTTAGATGATATAAGGTGAATTAGAGAATTTTAGTTTTGGTGAAAATTTTAAATCTGAATGAACTTCCCCAAAGTTAACACTTCCATATGTTAAGGGCAATGAAAGAAAGATATATATCCTATGACGTGGAGAGAATGAAAAATAATCATAAAGCGAAAGAGAAAGAATGGAGAATGGTCCACAGTGAATCGAGATGTTTATGGAAAAATTTTGGTGGTGAGACATGGAGAAACAATGTATTTGGTGAGGGAAATAGCCAAGTGCGACCGAAAAAGGATGGTCGTGATTATGAACGAGAGAGGTC